GTCTGGAGATGCGCGCACCTAGAGATGCCGATATACACGTCGGCCTGTCTGCGCCCTCGTGGGGTCCGTACCCGAGAATCATGACGTCATGATGTTGTTGGGCTGCACGGGAACACGAGCCAGATCTACTCCACCACCTTGCGAGCCAGGCATAGAGGAGATATCCACGACGCTCGCCATCGCACTGGGATGCGAGAGCCAGCAGAATTCTAGCGCAACGGAGCCTGTGGCAGCACGGGCAGCACACCACCACAAGGATTGTGAGGTCCGAGACACTCGTGTTGGACGCTCAAGCCGTCTCCTCGGCTGCCTCCCAGTTCGAAGCGTCTGGGACGCGCGTTTCGAACTTGTAACAAATAACTAACGGATGATGATGCTGATGCTGATGCTGATGCTGATGCTGATGCTGATGCTGATGCTGATGCTGATGCTGATGCTGATGCTGACTATGATGATAATGATGGGAATGTTGGCGATGATGATGCTGGTGCTGATGATGGTGATGCTCATGGTGATGATGATGGTGATGATGGTGCAGATGCTGCAGATGAGGACGAGGATAGTGATGATGGTGATGATGAAGATGATGATGACGGATGGTGATTGTGATGATGATAATGATGATACTGCCGATGATGACGATGATGACGATGATGGTTATGATGATGATGGTGATCATGATGATGATGCTGATGATGATGACTGTGATGGTGATGGTGATGAGGAGGATGAGGGTGCTGATGCTGATGATGGTGAAGATGATGATGCTGATGCTGATCATGATGATGATGATGATGATGATGGTGGTGGTGATGATGATGGTGGTGATGATGGTGATGATGATGGTGATGATGATGAAGATGATGATGCAGATGATGATGCTTATGATGATGATGATGCTGGTGATGATGATGATGTTAATGATGATGGTACTGATTGTGATGGTGATGGTGATGATGATAATGGTGATGATCATGATGATGATGGTATTGATGGTGCTCATGGTGCTCATGGTGATGAAGGTGATGATGGCAATGATGGTGACGATGGTCATGGTGATTATGATGGTGATGTTGGTAATGCTGATGATGATGACGACGATGATAATAATGTTGATCATGATGATGATGACAATGCTGATGGTGATGATGACGATGATGATGACGATGATGGTGATGGTGATTATGATGCTGAAAGTGATGTCAGTAGTGATGGTGTTGATGATTATGATGATGATCATCATCATGGGTATGATCACAATCATGATCATGACCATCATGACGAGGATGATGGTGAGGAGGATTCGAGGACAAACGAGGAAGAGGACGGAAGAAGGTGAAGTGGGGCAGAGTGGCGTGGGAGAGGTGGAGACGGATGAGGAGCAGAGTAAGAAGGGGGGGAGGATAAAAGATAATGAAGGAGGACAAACCAGCGGCCGCAAAAGGCGACATCACAAGAGGCTCCTCGGTCATCACATTCAGGATGTGATCCCGGTGCCGTTCCACCTGCACTGCTCCGCTCCCTTCTCATCTCGATGACCCGTCCCTCCAGGGCTCCGTGCCCCTACTCTTGCCTCTGTCCTCCCTGCCCTTGTCCTCCTCCTCCTCCTCCTCCTCGTCCTCCTGTTTCCCCTCCTCCTCCTCCTCCTCCTCCTCCTCCTCCTGTGTCTCCTCTTCCTCCTCCTCTACCCTACATTGCGCGCGGCACTGCCCAACGCATGACTGCGTCATCAGCCTCCACCGTGTCTACGGCAGACCACCATTGAGCAGCGAGGCTCGTCTTTAGTCGCGGTTGATTGGAGAGGACACAAGACCCTCCCGAGGGCCACGCTGCCATAGAAATGCCGAAGGCATGGCGAAACACAGGACCCGAGGGGTACTTTGGCAGGGTCGCCCTTCTAATCAACCTCGACTGTAGCATCACCCCCCTTCCTTCCATCCCCCCCTCTCCACCTTCTTCACCCCCATTGCCTGTCGCCGCCCCCTCGTCCTCACCCCCGCTCACCGTCGCCCGCCCTCGCTCGCCTTCCGCCTCCCGCCTCCCACAACCACGCGCGTCAGCAATCCCGCGCCCGCTCCCCGCCTTGCGCTCCACGTGAACCTCCTGTTGGTATTGCGCCCCCTCTCGGCGGCAGCGTAAGGGGGCTGACTCAGGGCCTTCTGAAAAGGCCCCCGGCCTCTCTTTCTCTCTCTCTCTCCCCCTCTGTCTCTCGAGACCCCTTCCGAGAAACCACTCCCTGCCTTCTCACAAGGCTGACCCCTCGCTGCGGACTCCTGCTGGCGGCATACTCCGCCCCATGCACGTGCCCCTCTCCTCGAAAGGGCCGTCTCTCTCTCTCTCTCTCTCCCCTTCTCTCCCCTTTCTCTCCCCCTTTCTCTCCCCCTTCTCTCCCCCTTCTCTCCCCCTTCTCTCTCCCTCTCCTTCCCTCCCCTTCCCTCCCCCTCCCCTCCCCCTCTCTCTCTCCCTCTCTGGGCCCGGCGGGGCGCGCGCGCCCAGCGCGCGCGCGCGCCGCGGGCGGCGGCCTCCGGACAACGAAAGCTCCCCGCCCTCGGCGGCCCTCCCCCCAGGCAAGGCCTCCTCCTCCTCCTCCTCCTCCTCCTCCTCCCTCCTCCTCCTCCAGCCTCTCCTCCTCCTCCTCCTCCTCCCCTCCCCCCCCCCCCCTCCCCCCCTCCTCCTCCTCCTCCTCTCCTCCTCCTCCCCCTCCCCCCCCCTCCCCTCCCCCTCCTCCTCCTCCTCCTCCTCCTCCTCCTCCTGCTGCGGAGCGGCGCGGCGGCCAAGCGTCCGTCCAGCGGGACGCTTCCACGGTGCGCAGAGCGCACGGGGAGGCCAGAAAAGTGGAACCGCATGCGGCGTGGCAGGAACGCCCGGGAAAGAGAGGAGGGGGGAGGAGAGCGCAACGCGTGGGCTGGCAAGCAAAGGAGAAGGGTGGGGGCGTGGAGTTCCCGTCATAATCATCACGGTCCAGCAGAGGCCGAGCCGCACAAACGGGGTGGCGGTTACCCAACCACGGCCAAGCCGCGACGGGGCACTGCCCCCCCTCGAACGAAGGATTGCAAAAAAACGAAGGATTGCAAAAAAAACCTTCGTTTCTTGCAATCCTTGAACGAAGGATTGCAAACAAAAACCCTTCGTTTTTTGCAATCCTTCGTTCGCGAAGGTTTTTTTTTGCAATCCTTCGTTTTTTGCAATCCTTCGTTCTAGCGGGGATCGAGACGAAGCGACAGGAGGCACAGGACAAGGAGGGGGAGGGAGGGAAGAACCAGGACGGGGAGGAAGGGGCGAGTCGGCCTATAGGCTGCGCACCACGGGTCGCTCCACCTTCTGCCGGGGCGCCCGGCGCGCCTGCGGCGCGCCACCGTCCGGCGCCACGGCTTCCAGCTCAAGAGTCTCAGTGGCCAGCTTCCTCTGTCTAGAAGGCCGACAATTGCTCGGTAGATTGGCCCTTCCTCTCTGACTGGGTTCCCACCCACCCCTGCGCGCCCAACACTGCGACGCGCTCTTCACAGAGTCTCGTGGACCGCTTGACATGTGCAGTACATGATTCCTCCCTTCTCCGCGGCACCTGGAAGATCTTTCGTACCTTTTTACCCCATCACTGCGCTATGCTTGATTGGTGTCTTCCCACGCAGTCCCTGCGGACGAGCAGCACAGCGCCGTGGGCGTGACCGCTGACTCGAAGAGCCGGTAGCGAGACACTGATGCGAACTGCCTGCTGCATAGAACGTGCTTGTATTTACCAAGTGCTCCTCGCGCCGAGGCCAGCCGGTGGGACAGCTGCATCGCCCCCGACGAGCGCGGCGGTACCGATCTCTACCCCCTCTGTTCGGAAGGAGTTTCGAATTGTCCAGATGCATGCGAAAGCCGTAGAGGGACGCCTCGCTCTGCAGGGTAGTAATGAGGGGTGACCTACTTGGGGGAAGGAAAGGACCCCAAAGGGGCCCTTTAGGCCCCGTTTGGAGCCAGCGAGGGCACAAAACGGGCACTAAAGGGCCCCTTTAGGGTCCTTTTCTTCACCCCCCATTTAGGCCCCCCCCCCATCACCACCCGCCCGAGGCCACTGCAAATCATTGCTGAAGGTTTCCGGCGTCCGCGGGGTCGGGGTCGCCTCGGTTGGACTCGGCTCGGAAAGCGAGGGGTCGACTTCGCGGCCTTCACGGGCTGCAAAAAGGTGCCGTGGTGCCCCTCTTGGCCTCTGGGCGCGGGGCTGGCCCCTGGGAGCCTGGCTTCGGTTTGCGTGGCTTTCGGCTGGTTGCCTCTGCGTCGCCCCATTCGGACTCGGCTTGGAAAGCTTGGGCTCTGCCCCTGGGCCCAGAAGAAGGAGGAGGAGGAGGAGGACGAGCAGGAGGAGGAGGAGGAGGAGGAGGGAGGAGGAGCAGGAGGAGGAGGGAGGAAGAGGAGGAGGGAGAGAAGCAGCAGCGAGGAGGAGGAGGAGGAGCAGGAGGAGGAGTCGGGCTTAGGGGTAGAGCCGTGGTGCCCCCGGCTGGCACGCCAGCCCACGGCCCGGCCCTGGCTTCGGGGGGCCGGGCTTTCTTCCCTTGCCTGCGCGGAGCGCAGGCCGCCCTTCAGCCTTCAGTCCCCTTCTCCCCCTTCTCCACCACCACCGACTCCGCCTCCTCCTCCTCCTCCTCCTCCTCCTTCTCCTCCTCCTCGTCCTCCTCCCCCCTCCTCCTCCTCCTCCTCCTCCCCCTCCTCCTCCTCCTCCTCCTCCCTCCTCCTCCTCCTCCTGCTCCGCCTCCTGCTGCCTCCTCCTCCTCCTCCTCCTCCTCCTCCTCCTCCTCCTCCTCCTCCTCCTCCTCCTCCTTCCTCCTCTTCCCTCTCCTCCTCCCACTCCGCGACGACGACGACGACGACGACGACGACGACGACGACGACGACGACGACGACGACGACGACGACGACGACGACGACGACGACTGGAGGTCTAATCCCCACCCTCCGCTGCGCGGAGCCGCCTCGCCGAGCTGCCGCTCGAAGTCGCGCTCCTGCTTTGCAAGGCGCGCCTGTGCGACGGCGCGCGCGAATGCGCAGGGGGGGGAGGAGGAGGAGGAGGAGGAGGAGGAGGAGGAGGAGGAGGAGGAGGAGGAGGAGGAGGAGGACCTCCCCAACGTCCCCTCTCCCCCGCCCTACACATGTGGTCAGCGGTGGAGGAACACTGGCACCTCAGTCCCTGCCCCTGAGAGGGGGCGCGAGATCGGTCGGGACGGGGGGGCCGAGGGTCGAGGATACAGCGACCCCAGAGCAGCATTCGAGGGCGGCCTCCTCCTCCTCCTCCTCCTCCTCCTCCTCCATCCTCCACCTCCACCTCCCTCCTCCTCCTCCTTCTCTTCCTCCTCATCCTCCTCCTCCTTCTCCTCACCTCCTCCCCTCCCCCTCCCCCTCCCCCTCCTCCTCCTCGATGAGGCCCCCGGCGCGGCCCTGCGCGGAGGCGAGGCGCTTCTGCACGCACGCGAAGGCCGAGGAGCGACCGGCGAGGGTCGAGGAGCGAGGTCGAGGAACGCGAGTCGAGAATCGAGGGCTGGGCGCCCAGCATCGAGGAAATCGACCAGGACTCAGGCTCGAGGATCGGGAATGTGATGGCCCAGGTGTAAAGGGGCCCCAGGACGCACAAAGAAATGCACACAACTAAGAGGATTCCCCATATGTGCCCATATTTTCTGGGATTCTGTCTTCTCCCCCACTTCCCATAGTTTCCTATATTTTCTGGGGGATCGACGATTACTTGTGTCTGTGTGTTTGTTTCCCTCCTGAATCAAGGAAATCGACCAGGACTCAGGCTCGAGGATCCAGAATGTGATGGCCCAGGTGTTCGGACGGGCCTCGACAGGAGTCTGCGCACAGGCGGCCCTTCGGAGGTATCTCTTAGGCCTGCCTGGCCTCGACAGCCTGTCTGTGCACGAACCAACGTCTTGCCAGGGAGGCCCAGACAAGGGAGCGTCCAGTAAGTGGGGGAGCCCAGGAAGAAGCCGGGAGGACCCTCAAAAGCAACAAACAAAAGACCCCACGGATCCCGTAGTTAGCATGAAGGAAAAATGTCCTAAAGAGAATGTCCTACAACCCATGGCTACCCCAGCAACAAACTGTACACACTCTCAATCATTGTCTGACGGCCTCGGAAGGGAAGGCTGCGAGAGACCGAAAACCGCGAAACACCTCAGTATCCCTTTCCCTGGAGACCCCTTTTTGCGTCATGGCAACCCCCAGAAAGCCCAAGATGCGGCCCGGGAGCCCAGGAAGATAGCGTCACCAGAAGAGCGGGGCTTGGAACAAAAGCAGGTTGTCGGCAGAGGGGACATGTGCTGCCGCCTCCTTGTCAAGGTCGTCCTTCCCTGCTGTGGGTGTACTGTGTACTGCTTGAGGTTTGATGGGAGAATATCTAGCTTGAGGTTATGTTCCCTGGCGATGGTGACGATATGGTAGAGGCCACCATCATGTACGTTGGAGCTGAAGCTTTGGGGGATGGCAGCGGGGCAGAGCCCGCCTCCCCCTCCTCCGCCTCGTCCTTTGCCTCCTCCGCCTCCTCCGCCTCCTCCGCTGGTCTCCACCATCGCCTCGGCGTCGCAGGACCTGTTACTCGGAGCCTCGTGTCCACGAGGAACGCGGACACCACGAAAAAAACATCCGCCGCTGTGCCTCTGGCACCTGGCGGGTGGCCACGAAGTCCTTGATGACGCCGCGCTGTCTAGGAGCTGCGAGATGCTTCTCAGGAGCAGTGTCTGCTACTTTTGGCCTCTGTCGTGCCCCAGGGTGGCCTCATGGGGCAGGGGCCCGCCTCGGGGCCCCCTTGTGGGTTTGTGAGGCCGCCTTGGCGACCCTGGCGGCTGGCTCGAGAGACCCAGTCATCCAGTGAGACGTTCTCGCCGCTTTGCGCTGGAAAGAACCCTGAAATTCCCAACAAGCACCCTCGAGGCCCAGAACACGACCCCAAGAGGGGGACAGACGGGGGGGGGACAGGCGGGGGGGGCGACTGCCCCCCCCCCCCCCCCCTCACCCCATCCAAGCTGGCCTCAAGACCCCCAACGGGCCGCCAAGAACCCTCCCATCGATGGGCACCTAAGGAGCCGTGGGGAGGCGCCCGAAAGTGCCCCAGGAAAGCCCCCGAAGGCGCCAGAATGGCTCCCAGCCAGCCATGCTCCTGGGAACCTTCCAGAGGGACTGGTCAGGAACATGGTTGGGAATCCCGACAGAGTTCTGGTCGTAAGCGGTGCAGAAAAATCTGTACTTCAACCCTCTCCTTCCCCTTCGAAGAGGACCCCATCACTACTCTTTCTCTGACCTCCTCTCCTACTCGGCTGGCCGCCAGGACCGTGAGCCCCCCACACGCCGCACTACTCCTGACACAAAAAAACTACAAAATGCACACGGCGGCAAACTGTTTATCATAAGTGGGACACCCGCGAGCACTTTGCATGGGTGTTGGACAGCCGCGGCGGGGGTGTGAGCATATTCGCCCGCCGTGCACTGCCCCACTATCCCAGTCAGAAGCCATGCCAACGCATTGGGGTGCACACGCCATACACCTTTCAAGCCACCCCGCCCCAGCGTTTGCGGCGGCGGTTGACACTGATAGTACGGACAAGAATAATTCCATCGGCGAACGACGCGGTTCCCCTCAAAATGTATATACTATGGGATGTCCTCACATTGGATTTCGATGCCGAACGCATGTTTTCTCTCTCGCTCTCTCGCTCTCTCTCTCTCTCTCTGTGTCTCTCTGTCTCCCCCTCCCTCTCCCTCTCCAGCTCCCTCTCCCATTCTCTCTTTTTTTTTCTCTCTCTCTCTCTCTCGTTCTCTCTCTCTCTCTCTCTCTCTCTCTCTCTCTCTTTCTCTATATATATATATACATATATATATATATATATATCGCCCTCCCCCCGCTCATGCACACCCAGACTGTCCTTTAGCGTCCGAGCGACGTCACTACATCGCACACCGAAAACTGTCCTCCAGCGCCCGGGCGACCACCTGACGCTGCACACATAAAGACGGCGAGCAGCAACACATCTCGACACCTCCCAGGTCGCGGCAGCCAGGCCGCACACTGACGACAGAAGTCACGCGGTCCGCCCCCGCGCCCCCGGCGCTTTTCACCGCGCGCGCCCGACGTCGGCAAGTTGCCCGCCAGGGCAGCCAGTGCCGCGCGGAACCTGGCCAGAGGCCGAGCGCAGTCCAGGAGCGGTCGCTGCCACTCGCTATCACACGCAGCTCGTCGTTCCACACTTTCGGCGGTGGACCAACCTCCTTTAGTAAACCTCCCCTTAGTGAGAACGGCCTGGGGCCGAAGCCGACGGACCTAGACCCGCAAAAATGACGGCCGCGACGCCCTCTCGCGAACCGAAAACGGCCAATTCCTTAATCGACGTGTCAAGGCAGGAGGTCTGTCCACCTCCGACACTTCAGCAGCACGCCACCTGCGCCGTCGTCGGGGCGGGGCGGAAGGCCCCGCCCCCAGCGCACTGGTCAGGCAAGAGGTGGCACGCGGAGATCACCGCAGGGCCTCCGCACCCACGCGACTCGAAACACCCTCGCGACGCCTTCGGTACTGGCGCCCGCGAGAGAACATCGGGCGCCTCCCGCGAGGCGCCGCCCCGCGCGTCGTCCGCGATCACCAAGTGAGATCCATGCATGGGGTGCTCGCCCGCGCTCGCTCAACTCGCGGGACAGCGCGCCCCCCTCGCAGGCGTCCGCGCATCGCCAGGCACGGCAAAGCGCCAAACGACGCCGCCATGCCCCAGCAGCGGGACCGCGCGGACCTCAGGCGCACCTGGGCAGGGCCAACTATGATCGTTCGCACTGGCGCCCCCAGACAGGATTTCCACCAAAATCTGGTCGGCCCCGCGCGCGCGCGAGGCGACTCCTGGATCTCCCGCCGAGGCGCACATCTGCTTCTCTGCGCGCGGAGCTTCCCCCGCAGCTGGGGCGCCCCCGCCAGGCCCCCCCGGTCGACCGCCGCGCGGAGGTTCGGGCGCAGAGAGACTGGGCAGCGGATCTCGTCGGGCAAATTCCCCACGGAGCACTTCGGGCGCCACCGCCCAAGAAAAAACGCGGCCCCCCCCCCCCGCGCCCTCGCCGCGGCCGCCCAGCGATTCCGCGGCCGCGCGAGCGCCCTCGAGCGCGCGCTTGCCGCCCGCGCGAACCCCTCGCGGGGTGAATGAAAATCGGGCCAGGGCCAGCTCCGCATCGGGGCCCCCCGCGGCCGCGCGCGACGTCGAGACGCGGCGGGGCGCGCAGCTCCGACGAGGCGCGCCCTCTCCGGGCGCGCCGCCCGCGGCCGGAGACACCGCCGCAGACCTTCGCGGGGGGGGGGTCTCGATCGACGCCAGCACTCGCGCCTTCACCAACTCCCGCAGACGCCCCACCTGCCAGATGCACTCCAACGCGGCGCCCGCGCCCCTCCCGGACACGCAGGAGGGGCCATCGAAGCGCAGACGATTGCGCCCCATCGACGACGCCGACGCAATGAGGCGCAAGGACCGCGCGGCCCACATTTCGCGGAGGTTGGCGCCGCGCAGGAGGATTGAACCCAAATGGCGCGCCGCCCGCGGCCGTCGGCGCCAGGAATAGCGCGAGGAGAGACCGCGTCGCCGACGATCCCCTCGACGCGGGACTGCAGCTCGCAGCGGAGGAGCTCGAACACCGGGAAATCCTTCGCCGCGCGACGAAGAAGCGAGGCAACAATCGGGGCCTCGACCGCGCGGCGCTCAGCCGCGAACGCCAGGCCGCCATCTGGCGACGAACCGCGCGCATCTGCCGACCACGGCCTGCCTGACGACGGCGCGGGGCGTCGCTCTCCAGTGGGCACTCTTTCGCGCGAGCCCCACCGCCGCACCTTCGCGGGCGAATATTCCATGCTCACCGCGCAGTCTCTTCGCCAACTGCGGGCGCACCCAGCGCGAGAGCGAAAACGCATCGACGCGGGGCGGCCCGCAATCGAAGCCACGCCGCGTCGCGGCGCCCGCGCCAAAGGTCGGCCCCAAAGATGCCCACCGCCACGCTGGCGAGC